ATTAAACACAAAGCTACATAAAGGGCTATCTGTGCTCTGCCCACCCCGGGTATCGAAACCCGGTTTCTAGCAGTATAAGTCCGCAGACATACCGCTGGGCCACTGGGGAGGGCATGCATATTCGTTGGACATCAACGTTCTTCCCTTTTCTTCAGACTGTTTGTATTTCTGTTAACAAACATAATAATAAAACATGTTAATTGTTGTAAACGAAATAATCATTTGATCTTAGTAAGAGTTTTTCTTCCCGATTTGTAAAAAATCCTTTCGCGATAGAAAAAAAAAATATTAGTTTCGAAACATGGGTAGCTAAATTATGGAAAATCTGTTATTAAAACCAAAACAACTTTTATGAAGTTTAAATTCGCAAGCCTGTGCTATTTTCAACAGTGCTCTTGATGCCAAAGTTGGCTTAAATGGCAATTTGTTTTTGATCTGGGAAGAGGATGCTGCTGATTTACAAAATAATTTAGATCATTTAGTGAGTTGGGCAAATAAATGGAAAATGGGTTTTGATTATAATAAATGCAAGATATTGCATGTGGGTTATCATAATTTGAACTATAAGTATAATTTGGATGGGAATAACCTTAACAGTGTTATGAAGGAAACAGATATTGGTGTAATAGTTGATCAGTCTCGTAAACCACCCAAACAATGTGCTATTGCTAGTAGTATGGTAAATAGGATTTCAGGTTGTATCTACAGAAATATTGAAGAACAAGTATAAAGGGGGTTATAATTTCATTGTATAGGTCACTGGTTAGGCTAAATTTGGAGTTTTATGTTCAGTCTTGAGCTCCTTACCTTAGGAAATTGTTGGAAATGGTTCAGAGAAGGGTTACTAGAATGGTGCCTGGGATGTAGTGGTTGTCATACGAGGAGAGATTGAAATTTCTCAAATTGTTTTCTCTTGAAAAAAGAAGAGTTAGAGGAGATCTGATTGAGGTGTTTAAGATTGTAAAGGGAATTAATAGTGTTGAGGCATCATCTTTTTTCATACTTACCAGTAAGAATAGTAGGACCACGGGACACAATTATAAATTTTGCTAGAATAGGAGTCATCTTCAGCTAAGACAGTTTTATTTTTCTAACAGGGTGGTTGGCTTTTGGAATGAGTTACCTTCGGATGTTGTGGAAGCAGTAAATTTAAGTGAGTTTACGAGAAAGCTCGATAAGTATATGAATGATAAGGACTGGCTTTAAGATTTTTTTTAGTATATTTATTAATAGTTTTAGTTTAGTTTAGAAGGTGGAACAGCAGAGATAGACCAATACGTCCCATGTTGTTCCAAAACGTTATGTTGTGTTATTTCACTTACACTATGAAGAAAACAATGTTTTGTATCGTAAATGTTATGAAAATAATTTAGTTTGTGAGGTAGGCCTTGCGTCTCATTAATGGTAGTTAAGTGCAACAGAGGTATTGTGTTAGGTTCTAGATGCTTGTATACCAACACTCTACACATTGGATCGACAAGTTACCTAACCTATTTGATGTCTATGGAATGTTTTTCCAACCGGTGTGTCGCGGAAGGTTGGAAAAGTCACATATTAGAAAGATAAGTAACTTAAGAAATTAAACATATTGTTTATGTAAATTAGTTTGTGGATTCTGTCTTCTTGCTCTTTCGGTGTACAAAAATGAGACGTGACATCACTCTACGCTCTGATGACGTTGTACTTCACGTGGTAATAACAGTTATGTGTTTGGCTGGAAAAGGGCTTTGCTTTTTGTTTGTTTGAAGTTAAGCACAAAGCTACACAATGGGCTATCTGTGCTCTGCCCACCACGGGTATCGAAACCCGGATTCTAGCGTTGTAAGTCCGCAGACATACCGCTGGGCTTTCAGATATAGATGTAATATCGAAAAGCGCCATCTGTTGAATTTTATTTTACTTTTTTTTATAGTTGTAAATTTTTATGTTTTCATATACCTTATTCAGTTGTTTTATTTGCCATACAAAACAGTTGCATACTGATCGCCGAAATATCTACTGAACATTGAATATTCAGATGGTTTTCTTTTTAAAAAAACATGTATTTACGGTGCATAAAGCTAAATAAAAATGTTAAATTGATAAGTAACACCAAAAAGTATATTTAAAAATAATATATAAAATATGTGCAAATTAATCCGTTTCATGTAAAAATATCTTAAACGTTTCTTTTGCTTTTAGAAAGATAAGAAATTTTAATGCTAGCCTCTCTGGTATCACATTCTCATGAAAATGAAATGTGTTTTTCATTTTCATGTTTATTAGAGACGTTTGATTTGAAAAACAAAAATGAAATTATAAGTAACTCAACACAAAATGTGATTTTTTGACAATCAACGGACTTACAACTATATACATGTGACTACTTATAGAAAGCTCCACAATCAATAAAAAAAAACTAGGTAATTGTACTTTAACTTTCTATATAGTTAGCTCACTTTATGATCCATCACAGTACTTAGTATTTCTCGCAAGCTACTCAAAGATTAAAAATTGTCTTATTTTTATAGCGAAAGTTTACTATGTTTTGTCATTTGATGCTTTTTCATCAGCTTTACGTTGGTATTACCTCATCATGGGGTCATGTTGTCCCAATAACCTTAGCCACTGTTTATGCTTTTAAAGAAATATCGATTCTGTAATAAATCTAACAAAATCGTTCTTTTAATTATTTCATTCCTATAAGCACACCATGCTTTCTAGAAAACAACAAAAGTGAGAGCACAATTGAAGCTATTTGGCTGGATTATTCACAATGTTTTTATTTACCTACAAATTTTTATTTATTTAGGCTGGTAGAACGTTCAACAAGATACTTCTTCCTTAAGGTCGAACCTAAAAAATGTTTATAATCATTTTAAACATTAAGACTAAAATATCACATTGTGACTTGTGTACAAAGCAATTTCTTAAATATGTATTCAAGATATTATGTTAAATGATTTAAAATGAAAGCTCTTATTCATTCTAATTAAATCATCTTAAGTAATTTAAAATGAGATACATTATTCATTCTAATTAAATCATCTTAAGTAATTTAAAGTGAGATACATTATTCATTCTGATTAAATTATGTCAATGACTCAGTCACACTACAAGAATTAAAACTTCCATTTCTGTGAGAATATTTTCAATTTTATATTCTTTGCTTGAACAAAAATTTTAGTTTGGAGATTGGCAACTTTATGTTTTTTTGTGTAAATGCATTGTTCATTTCTGAAAACAATATTTCCAATTTGAATTTTTGAACTAGAAAATCAGAATGTTCAGCTTGCATTTTATGCATATGGAGTTTTTTATTTTGTAAATCTTCAAAAATTATTTTTCTTAAATGTTTCCGTTTTTGTCAGATCAGTCAACACTGACATAATACTTTAAATTATGTTTTCAAATAGCAACTAAAGATAAATTTAAAATGTTAGATTGCGTTTTACTTTATTTTTATATATGTATATGATATGCCTCTCGTAGTTTTGGAGAGAATACTTCAACTTAT